CTCAGCTCCATAAATCTCATAGCACATGAATACCCTCTCGACGAGGTACCCGGCGAAATCACTCCCTCCGAAACCTGTATCTATACAAGGCATAAGTCCTGAATCCCTTCCCAAGTTCGATTATGAGCCAATAAGGCCAACCATAGCATGCCTCCAACAAGTCATTTGCTCAAATTACCACTTATGGTCTTTTTCCGTAGCTGAGATAACCCACCAAGATATTAATAACTGGAAACCTCGCAAGTAGCTAACCATGAAACCCAAATCACAAGCAGTGGGACTCTCCCACTTAGCTTGAAGCCATTATTACCAAAACTCTGGAGTTCACCATTATTCTTAATCTCTTGCCGACATAACCTCGTGCAATCAATTGCCAGCTTTCTCGATATCTTACCGTAGAACCCCAATTGATACTCTAAATTATTAACACCATTCATATAACAATCCCCTTTGCTGCATATCCAGTAGAACTCTTCACAGAAGCCTCGCCAACCACGCGACTGCTAACCTGCTCACAGGAATACCCCACCTGTAGAAATCACTCCCCGGCATCTTCCAACGCTGCTGCATGGGGTACCATCACTACGACATCAATAACGCAACCTGAGTTCGAGCTCACTCTCCAGCTGCACGAGTCCATTCACCCCTCTTGAACATCAATCAAATGCGCGGCAACGCCTTCCCAAATTCAGAGTTATGCTGCATCCTTCTTTATTTCAAGCAGCTCTTTCCGCCATACCGAATCTCCTACCGCATAACAACCCATGCTTCGAATTAAACCTGCAGACTTCAATTGCCCGTCGCTAAAATCCCAGACCATTCCAAACTCTCCTTAGGCGCGTAGCCATCCTACTACTACTACTTAGCCCTATACGGCTCCGCCACTCTCCCACTTTGGGCAAACTCGCTCCTTTAACCAGCTGCTCGACCTACGGTTCTTATACCTGGCCCTTTAGAAGTTTAAATCTCCGTCTGACACTTCCCACATGTCTTTCTCATCCTTTGCTGCTCAGTCGTTGTCTTAATAAAATTTATCTTCATAGAACTTGAATCCACAATTTGCTACTAATCCCAAACCTTTCCGAAGGTTATCTTTATCAAACCATCAGCATTTGCAATACTGATTCAGTCCGGAGCCACCGCATCCCGCGATATCTGGTAGTTGTATCTCCAATACCATTTCACAATATCTTGCCCCAAGAGCTAATCATAGAAGATCATAACACCGACAAACTTAATACGTCCAATTAGGGCAACATCACCACAACAAAAAAGAGAACTCCTTCACGTTAGCAATTACCATGCTCCATTACTTCCACTAGTCCACATCTGACCATCCTTAGTTCGATTGACTTTCCCCTTCCGGGAATAACATACTGAATCCCTTTGATTACACACTGAGTAAACCTCCCTTCAATTCATTCACTGCCCCGACACGTGGGCAAACACCCTTCCATCACAACAACACTACGGAATAATCGCTTATGAGCATCATGGCAACCTGTGCCTAGCCTCAAGGCTCTCAGAAGTTCTGTTACAGAGCTAAAACAATGGAATATCCCTTCGTAATGTGACTATAATAGTCCAATCAACTATACCGGGTAAACCATCCCGCACCACATTTGTAGTGCCATTGCAATCCTTCAATTTTCGATTTATAACAAGCGCTCGCGTCGCGTAAGATTGAGTGGGAAGGAATCAAAGGCATAAGCCTCAAAGGAATCGAAACGCACGATAAGGAAACAAAGAAGGGAAGTACTCCTAACAGCCTTGTAGCCTCCCGAGGATAAGTACAGACTTCTCCGTACCGATCCACGAGACTCTACTAGACTTGCTCATGACTCATGAGACCGACGGGAACCTAGTGCTCTGATACCATGTTGTCACGATCCAAAATCCACTAAGGTTCGTGGTGGCGCCGGACACCTCTGTCACGCAAGCCCACTAAATCATCAATTAAATCCTCTTTAATACTTTTGAAAATCTAGAATTTTTCCTTCCATTTTTCATAAATAAAAGATCACTAATTGAATTCAAATTTAAATAGTAACAATTTGTACAAATCCGTTAAAAACCTTCCCAGAAACCCGATGTCACAAGTGCATGAGCTACTACTGATAAGTGAAATAAAATACAACATCCGTCCGAAATACAGGGGACAGGGAATAATATACAAATGCTGAAAGGAACTACACTAGCTGCGGTCACCTCGAATGATGCAGCTCACCTAGTCCCAGAAACATCCGTGCTGCTACGCCCAGTAGGCTGCTAGAGGTATATATACTTGTGCAACAAAAATGCACAGAAGTGTAGTATGAGTACGTAATCAACGTGTACTCAGTGAGTATCCCGCCTAATCTCGAAGGGGTAGAGACGAGATGGCCAACTTCGACACTCACCAGAGGTCAATATCAATATTCAATAATGCGAGGATAATCATGGATTCATATAGTAGTTCTAATTCACGAAGCCAGGAAAATAGGTAAACACCTTCAACAATTAATCAAGGGCTTCCAAGGTTTATTCTTTATTATCTTTTCAATTTATATCAAGCCACGAAGGGCAAGTTTCGCGATTAAAAATCCTCAAGCGACAAATAACATGTGCAAATCACACCGAGGCGACGGCCCGATCCAACAGAAATGTAAAATGTGCACTGCCGAGGGTCGAGCGGCACAAACCATAGATGCATCTATTTTCACCGAGGCGTTCGGCCCGTTCCATAAATAAACATATATCCTGCTCACGAATCATCCATGTGACGCAGGCACACATAAAATACATGCTCAAGTAGGGAATTAAGCATTTACCGGGCTATTTTATTAAATAAAAACCAAATCCTCTTTTAACAATTCAAGAAAATGATGTTTAATCCTTTTGAAATTCATTTACTAGTTCAACTTGATTTTTAACAATTCAAATGTCAATAAGGTTCCAAATATCCCAGGTATAGCATGCTTTGGGTCTTAGACTACCCGGACAATAGCATAATAGTAGCTACGCACGGACTCTCGTCACCTCGTGCGTACGTAGCCCCCACAATTAGGGGCACATAATCAATTTAACTCACCTATGGGGTAGTTTCCCCCTCACAAGATTAGAAAGGAGACTCATCTCGCTCCGAAGACTCATAACCGGCGTTCTACATCCTTCCGAAGGCTTGGACCAACGCACAATGCACCAAAACTAGCCAATCAACGACAAACTAATGAGAACATGCTCAAATACTTGTTAAATATTCAGATTATATAAATTCCCAGCTCCGCTTAGTGAAATGACCAAAATGCACTCGGGCCCACGTGCCCGGAATCCATAATTTCTCGAAGATAAAGATTACCCATAACCTTAGGAATTCAAATATATAATTTTCTCCTAATTCCATGCTCAAAACGTGGCTAAATTCCAAGAATATGATTTTCTAGGTTTTCCACCAAAACCAGAATTTTTATGCTAATTTTCATGTCTAATTCCATGGTATAGTCTTGTATTTAACTTGGAAATAATTAGGAGTAACTTACCTTAATATTGATGATGAAATCTCTCCTTGAAGCTCTCCAAAAATCGCCCCCAAGCCATGCAAAATGGGTGAAATGAACCAAATCCCGATTTAAAACAAGTCTCTGCCTCCAGTCACTTCCGCTTCTGTGGAAATATAGCCGCTTATGCGGTTCCACTTTTGCGAACAGTAGGCCGCTTCTGCGGCTTCCCTGGCTTAGCCCTTTTCGCTTCTGCGACCGTACAATCGCAGATGCGGTTCCGCTTCTACGGGACCTTGACCGCGTCTGCGGTCCTCCCCAAAATCCTCTCTTCCGCTTCTGCGTCTCCCTTTCCGCTTCTGCGGCTCCGCATCAGCGGATCAATGGCCGCTTCTGCGGTCCTTGCTGCCCCCATGCCGAACCGCTTCTGCGGCTTCGTCCTCGCTTCGTCGGGGCCCATTTCTGCTGTCCCATTTCCGCGGAAGCAGAAATACCAGATACCAGATCCCTTCAGCTGTTCTTCAACTTCCAAATTTGATCCGTTAACCACCCGAAATTCACTTGAGGCCCCCGGGACCCCAACCAATCATATCAACCAATCCCAAAACACATTACGGACTGGATCGAGGCTTCAAATCATATCAAACAACGCTAAAATCATGGATTACACCCCAATTCAAGCTTTATGAACTCTAAAATTTCAAACTTCTATTTCCGATGTTTAAACCTATCAAATCACGTCCGATTGAGCTCAAATTTTGCACACAAGTCATATTTGATATTACGGACCTACTCCAACTTCCAGAATTGGATTCTGACCCCGATATCAAAAAGTCAACCTCCGGTCAAACTCCTCAAAAACCTTCAAATTTCTATCTTTAGCCAAATGGCTTCAAAATGGTCTACGGACCTCCAAATTCACTTCCGATCGCGCTCCCAACTCCAGGATCACCATACGGAGCTACTCCCGATCTCGGAATTCCAAATGGACATTGATAACACCGAAATGCTCTTCAAACCAAACTTATGAAATTCCTTCTAAAATGTTAACTTCCACAATAGGCGTCAAAACGCTCCCGGGTTATCCAAAATATGCACCAGGCATACGCCCAAGTCCGAAATCATCATACGAACCTGCTGGAACCTTCAGATCCCGATTCCAAGGTCGTTTACTCAAAATTCCAATCCTAGTTTATTCTTTCAACTTTAAGCTCCCGAAATAAGAATTCTCTTCTCAAATCAACTCTGGACTTCCCAAAATTCAATTCCGACCATGCGTACAAGTCATAATACCTGAACTAAAGCTGTTCATGGCCTCCGACTACTGAACGGAGTGTTGGGACTCAAAACGACCTGTCGGGTCGTTACATGGATGTTCATTATACTCTTGTAGAGCTTGTGACTTGATATCACCAGACGTTTGGAGTTTTGTACTGTTGAGTTGCAGAGTCCTTTTTATGATAGTAGTTGGTTAATTTGAACGTTTTATCATTATCTCAATTAATTTATGCATGTATGTTAGGCTTACCTAGTCTTAGAGACTGGGTGCCAGCGCGACATCTTACGGAGGGGAATTGGGGTCGTGACATATTTCTTCAAATTCCCAGCACCCCATCTCCTACACCAGTTAGCCTCTATGTGCCTCACATAGTATTTGTGGTGTGCATCAGGAACTACTCTCTGAACTGCCTCAATTACGCCCTACATATAAGAATGCAGAAAATTAAACATTTAAAATAGAAAGAAAACTGTAAATAATTTTTTAAGAATAACATTGAAGTGAAATAGTATAAGTACCTTCTGCGTGTCTAACATAAATGTGTATCCTTCCCCAGATTGAGGTCTAATGAATTGTTCAACAATGATTAGAACCAGGTCGAGGTGACCTTTGTTTATTTATCCACAACAGCCCGAGCAATAGGATAAAAATGATTCATTGAATCTAAGTAACGATAACTAAGAGTTGACCTTTAGCCTTTCTTTCCAATAAAGTTCTATCCAAGCCAATAAAGGGTTTCAACCCACTCTTAAACCCTATTTTTAGAGCATGGAAGCAGATATACATCCTAGAAAATATTCTATTTCCTTCAGCAAGTGCATCCTTTGATAAGGTAATTATTTCATCACTCCCTGGATTACGCAGCCTCAATTCATTAGCATATGCCTCTATCTTATTATACTCATTAGTAAAACTACCAGCAAGGGATTCAAGTATCATTCTCTTGGCCCTCTTACACTTTGCATGGCTAACATTGATGTTGAAGGTAGTTTTCAAGGCTACTCTCATCTCCTTAACTTTGATGATAGGATTCTCCTGCAGCTTGTTCTTAAAATATTCTGCAATAGTATTAAAATCAATCCTAGCGTTATCATATGCAGGGTTACACTTATGTTTTGACTTAAGAGTTTTGATCTTAACCCCACCACCATTCTTATCCTCAGAAATGAGACAAACAAAGGGGCAGCCAACCTCACACATGTACCTCAGTCTTTTGGTGTCACTCTTGAGTTGTTTTAAACCATAATAGTTTGCTAAGCAGTACAAATTTATCACTTTTCTAGCCTTAAGTATATCTTTGTTCTCTTGCACCGTTCTTTGTAATTAATCAAACTTATCATAATCTCCCTCTTTTTTTGTAGTGCAAGTACTTCTAAATCTTCAGAGTCATAATCTGAAAAAACGGTATCATCTTCACTCTCATTTGAACTACAATCAGTTGCAACCTCACAATCTACTGTTTGTGATTCAGTATGGTCGACAATATTAGGAACATTAGCCTCCATTTCACTATCCTCTACCGAAAATAGATTAGTTATATTGAAATGGTCAGAAACCATGTTCTGCAAAGTCCTAATACCCTTATATCTTGTTACTTCATAATATCTACCGGAAGGACCACAAACTATAAGTTTTTGAAATTCATTTACTAAATCTATGAAAGACAGAAGGTCATAATCATATTGTTTCCAAGTGTACACCAACTTTCTTGAATATACTAATGTTGGCATAGTTTTTGTCACGAACCAAAACTCCAACCTATCGTGATGGCACCTATTGATGGTACTAGGCCAGCCGACTTTCAAAATACTTCGATATTTCATAAAAAGATAAACCAAAAGCCTTTTTAAAACGGGATTTTCATAAAAACAAGAGTTAAACTCAAAATAAAATGCAGAAAGATAGCCCCAAACATCGGGGTGCCACTAAATCATGAGCATCTAAACATAACCGGTCCGAAAATAACACGACCAACATAGTTTGGAATCAAAAATACAACTAAAGAAAAAGATAGGGGAGAAGAAAGCAAGGTTGCGAACGCCGGGCAGCTACCTCGCTATCTCCAATAACTAGCTACGAGGACTATCAGCACCCTCCGCGACTAACAACTCCTGGATCTGCACACGAGGCGCAGGGAGTAATGTGAGTACACCAACTCAGTAAGTAACAGAATTAAAAAAGGAACTGAGAAGCAGTGACGAGCTATACAAATACAGTTCATCTCATAAAGTTCAGTAAAGAATAGGCATGCTTTCAATCCAGAAGTTTAAGTCAAATCATTTTGTTTAAGTCAAGTTCAAGTAAAGCCAGATAAAATATATTTCAACAGTTTTCAAAACAAGTATGTAAGGCAATTGTGTGAATTAATAATGAAATCATATACTTCCTCTCGGGCAATCATCACTCAGTCCTCCCAATCACCCCAACCTCACAATCACTCAGCACTCGCACTCAGTACGTACCTGCGCTCACTAGGGGTGTGTACAGACTCCGGAGGGGCTCCTTCAGCCCAAGCGCTATATCAAGCCAATCATGGCAAAATCAATGAAACATGCTGCGACGTGCAGCCTGATCCCATAAATATCCTCACAATCAGGGGCCTCACTCAGTCATCAATCTCTCCAGTCTCTCGGGCTCTCAGAAATCAGGAAAATCAGCCTAACAACAATAACATGATGCATCAAACAGAATAGCAGAGACAGAGATATTATATGCAAGTAAAAACTACGACTAAGTACAAATAGCATTTAGCAAGCAATTCAACATGTAACGCGGTCTCTATGGGACCCACAGTACCAACACATAGCCTAAACATGGTTTCTAACATGATTTACAGTCAATTTCTATGAACACATAGAGAGCATATAACTAACAGCAAATTGTTCAATTTTACAGTTTCCACGGGATGGACCAAATCACAATCCCCTCGGTGCACACCTAGCATGTGCGTCACCTCCAAATAATCACATGGCACCAAAATTCGGGGTTTAATACCCTCAGGACCAGATTTACAACTGTTGCTTAACTTAATCCGAGCAAATCTCTACTCCACAATACCTTTGCCTCTCAAATCGGTCTCCAAACGTCCCAAATATAGCCACAAACAGTACAATACAATTAATATATGCTAGAGGAATCAATTCCACAAGAGAACTACTAAATTAGACTCAAAATCCGAAATCGGCTAAAACTCGCCCCCCGAACCCACATCTCGAAATCCGACAAAAGTCACGAAACCCGAAAGCCCATTCACTCACGAGTCCAACCATACTAAATTTATCAAAATCCAACATCATTTGGTCATCCAAAACCCCAAAATTCACTCTCCAATTCTCAAGTCCTAATCTCCCAAATTTCACCTCAAAAACTCACCATAGGTGTAAAATCAGTGGGGAAACACCATTATTGAAGATAAATAGGCAAAAGGAACTTACCTCAGTAATTGCTTCAAAATCCCCTCTCAAAATCCCCAAAGTAGGAGCTCAAAAATGATGAAAATGGTGAAAAATCTCGAAGTGTTCAATTTATAGTTTCTGTCCAGCAAAACCGCACCTGCGGCCTCTTTGTCGCTTCTGCAACGCCGCACCTGCGGATATTCCATCGCAAGAGCGGATTTCACTTAAAATCCTAGACTCCACTTCTGCGGCTTCAAGACTGCATCTGCGCCTATCGCAGGTGCGGAAATACATCGCACCTGTGGCCAACCATCATGTGCTCAGATTCTCGCTCCTGCGGCCTTGCAGGTGCAGGAAAGTCTTCGCACCTGCGGCTCCTGCCCAGCTCCTTCTTGGCCGCATCTTCGGCTCCTTCTTCGGTTCTACGGACCCGCACCTACGGTTCTCACTCCACAGGTGCGATTACACCAGCAACAGCAGCACTTCAATTGTTCATTCAATTCCAAAACCAAGTCCGAAACCTCCCGAATTTCACCCGAAATCAACCTGAGGCCCTCGGGACCTCAACCAAACATGCCAACAAATCATATAACCCGATACAAACTTAATCGAATCCTCAAATCACCTCAAACAACATCAAAAGCACGAATTACACACGGATTTAAGCCTAATCAACTTCAAAACTTCCAAATTTTACAAACGACGTCGAAACCTACCAAACCACGTCCGATTGACCTCAAATTTTGCACCCAAGTCGTAAATGACACCAAGGACCTAGTCCAACTTCTGGAAATCAAATCCAACCTCGATATCAAAATTTGCACTGCTGGCCAAAATCTCCAAAATTCCAACTTTCGCCAATTCAAGTCTAATTCTACTACGAACCTCCAAATGTCGTTACGAACACGCTCCTAAGTCTAAAATCACCTAACGGAGCTAACAAAACCATCAAAATTCAAATCCGAGGTCGTTTACACATAAGTCAACATTCGGTCAACTTTTCCAACTTAAGCTTTCAAATAAGAGACTAAGTGTCTCAATTCACTCCGAAATTACTCCGAATCCAAACCAACTAACCCGATAAGTCAAAATACAGCTGTGGAACACAAAAGAAGTGGAAAATGGGGGAACAAAGCTTCAACTCTCGAAACGACCGGCTGGGTCGTTACAATTTTTAGTCACCTCCATAATTGAATAACAAGTCCACATTAACCATCTTAACCTACAAAATAAATAAGGGAAAAGGATTAACAAAATCGAATATAATAAAGGGCATTCCCATATGAATCTGACCAAATAGTAAAAAGCAATAAAGGGCAGACACATGAGTAAGACAAAGGCTAACAGAATTGAATATAATAATACAAACTTTAATGTATTCCCCAACATTGAATATAATAAAGGGCATTCCCATATGAATCTGACAAAATCGTAGAAAGTAATAAAGGGCAGACGCATGAGTCAGACAAAGGTTAACAGAATTGAATACAAACTTTAATGTATTATGAGACATTGAAAGATATAGTTGAGTCTCGACATTATTAAACATATTATATGGTGGACCACATATAAAGAAACAACAAAAATGTACAGTAATCAATAAAGGGACAACACAAAAATATCTCACATAACCACCATATACCATAGAAATTGGGTGTGAGCACGTGATTTTTTCCCTAAGCAAATTATTCCAAAAGTTTCAAATAATTAATTTCTTTATTATTTTACAATTTTTTGTGATTTTTTGTTGAATTTGGTGTTAATTGGTTGCATGATAATTCATATTAAAAATACAAAAATATGCATTTTGCATTAGGAATTTAATTTCACATTTTTTAGGTATGGATTTGTTTAGAATAAAAATTAAAGAAAATCACAAAAAATAGTTTCTTTGCACTTTTAATTGTTAACTGTTGCATTTATCTTTTAAATAGAATTTTAAGTAATTTTAGGATTTGAATAGTTTAATCTCGATTTTTATTAAGTATTGGTTTTAATTTTACATTTTATAGAATCAGAAAAATAATACAAAAATACAAAATGAAAAGAAAAAAAAAACAACAGGAAAATATGGTCTTGGGTAAAAGACCCAAATTGGGCCGTTCTTATTGAAAGTCTGCTGGCCCAATTTGCGTTGTCAACCAAACCGACCCAATTAGTACCCTACCCGGTCTAGTTATTCACCGCATAAAACGGCCCCGTTTCGTTACCCCTTCATCTGAGCCGTTAAACTCGTTTGATCCAACGGCTCCCGTTGAGCGTTACATTGTAATAAAACTGTCTGAAAGATTCAATTAGCCCTAAAACCATTCCCGTCTTCCTCGTACAGAGCCTGTAACACCGCCGGAGCCGCCGCCGGCGGTGAATGCCACCTATGCCAACGGCCCTCAAATTCACACCACCGGTTCGCCTCGTTCCCCTCTTTCCAACCCTGCCCTTAGTTTCCCTCGAATCAATGTCAAACCCTTCGAATAACGATTTGAAATTACTCCGGCCAAGACGTCACCTTGCCCAAACACCCTCAGATTTACACCATAGGACCCTCTCCCCATCCTCTATCGAATCCCTAAAGTATTGACCCTCAAATATGGCCGGAATTGTTCGAATTTTGATTTGAACTTTTTCGGCCAAAACCCTAAATACGCCAAATTGTGCCAAATTGGCACAATATGATCCTATCATCGTCCTCTTGAAGATTCTACCACTTAAGGCGTTCGAATGTCGCCGAAATCACTCAACTGTTGCAATAATAAGAAGCAGAACCCTACACATCATAGGTGAGGTTTCTTAGTTATTTTTCTTTCTCTTCTTCATTTATTTCTGTTCCATGATCACTCTTCTGCTAGGATTAATTAATTTAGGTTTTGTTTTCTGTTTGCAAAGAATCAATAGTTTACCGTGCTTATTTTCTTCATGCTTGTTGGATTTTTAAATAATTGATTAGTAATTAGCATAAAGTCTGCTATGCATTAGTTCGATTTTGTTTTAGTTTTTGTTTTAATTGACCCTTTAGGCCATACTCAATGCTTGATTTTTAGTTTAGTAAAATTTGATGTCGTCCTGTTAGTTCATAAACGGATCCAGTTTTGTTAGAATTCAGAGTTTTAGTTAATGGTTTTTCTTGATTCTGTGGGTGGTCTTAATTAACCTTGTTTAGTTAAAAGGGGATAGGTTAATGGTGACCTAGGTGAGTAATTTCAGGGAATGTTCAAGGGTGTTTGGGTAAATGGAATTAGGCAGAAGTGTTGTAAATGGTACCTGAAACTCCTAGAACTTTCTAGATAGGGGGTAAAGTTAGAATTTCAAAAAATGAGTGTACTTGCTTGAGTCACAAGTTAAGAAATAAAGGTTTAAATATAAATAAGAAGAGGGATTGTTTTGTAAAAAAAAAAATCTGATAGGCTTCTTTTGGGCCTATAAAAGGGCAATGCCTTTGCCTTGTAGAGGGGTTTTTTTTTTGGAAGCCTAAAATTCCCCCAAAAACAATCTTCAATCCTCCAGATATGAAATTCAATTTTAGCTCAAAAACTTTCTTAGATCTTAGCTCTCTCAAAAAGTACAAAAATACAAAAATACAAAAAAAAAAGCAATGCCAAAAATACAAAAAAAATAGAAAACCTACTGTTGCATTAATGCTCCTGAAGTCAAGTTAGGATTTCAGTTGATAAGTTGCATGTTTTAGCTTAATTTCTGATTGTGAGAGCTTCAGAGGTGTCTTGGTTGGTTTTCAGTGATTTTGGGTTTTATCCAGACTGGTTTTAATTCAGTTTTGGTCATTCCGTTTGGTTTTAAGCACTTCTGGATTTCTGGGTTGATTATTTTGGTCTGCTCGTTGTTCTATATTACTGGGAATCGATTACTCCTATTGCTGTTCGAGTTACTGCTGTAGCTGACCTCTTCTACTTCATTTTTATTCCCATTCCAGGTACACGGCTTTGCCTTTGATAATTGTGAGTTGAAATATGAAAGGATTGAAGCATGAAATCTGAGTTACTTCAATTTCTGTAACGGTGTGTTCAACATTCAGCTTATTGATGTAGATTAAATTTCTGTTTGTATTGTACTAAGTGGACCGATAAACTGCTAAGTATGAATGTGCCTAGATGAATCATTAAGTGTGTATTTGTGTATTCAGAAATGAACAGGAACTTTAGTTGTACCAGTTTTGATTAGTTGGAAGAAGTTCATGTTAGCTTTAGTTAAATTCATGTCAACTACTTTCAAATCTGTTTTAAGAAGAACTCATGTAATGAGATGGAAGTTCCAGTAGCAATTGTAGTGTAGATCGCAATCATAAGTGAGCAGGTTGGCTTAATTGATGAATTCAAGTCAAGTCCCAGCGTATTGATTTGCAAGTAGGAGGAGTAATGTTCAAATCACAATAGGTTTCTGAAATCAACAGTTTGTTTGCTAGAAAGGGTATCGGATTGAAGGTTACCATTCATAGTTTGAACATAGTATAAGTTTGGGCTTTGATTTAGGTAGCGGGCTCAAACTAAGAGGTTCCTCCTTTTGTTTGAATTCGGATTTGAACTCGAGGTCCGAAATTCATAATATTAATCAATTAGCACTTTTTTCTTCATTATTAGAGACAAAAGTATAGAAAATCATAGTCACTCTAGGATTGGCTTTTAAATAAAATGATGAGACGAGCCCCGCCAAATAAAAATGCAAATTGCGGGGCCCTCACTCAATGCTAAACTAAAAATACTTAGACTTCGGGATGGGCCGTTTAGCGAATTTAATGGCCCTCTCCAAAGATAATAACGCATTAGTCACTTTAGGCGCGTTTTTAATAATCTTACTTTCTTAACTACGGGTGCACATTTATGTGACCCTAATCCAAATCTCAACGGAGTTGAAATGTGTTGACAACCACGGGTGCACTGGTGCGACGTGGTTCGAGACGCATTTTCACGACGTTGCAATTCTGATAAAAATAAAAATAAAGCGACTAATAAAAGGCACATAGGTTAGCACATGTTTTGAAATCAGATAAATAAGCCAGATATGACCGGTAAGCGACCGTGCTAGAACCACGGAACCCGGGAATGCCTAACACCTTCTCCCGGGTTAACAAAATTCCTTACTCGGATTTCTGGTTCGCGGACTGTTAACAGGGTCATAATTTCCTCGGATCGGGATTCAACCGGTGACTTGGGATACCATTAATCTCCCAAGTGGCGACTCTGAATCTTAATAATAAATCCCATTCCGATTGTCCTTTAATTGGAAAAACTTCTTTACACCCTTGCGGGTGTATGAAAAAGGAGGTGTGACAGCTCTGGCGACTC